ATACTGCCAAAGGGTACCTACATACATGATATGCAGGTACGAGTAAAAGGAAACCTATAGCTGGGAGTGCTATACTTCGACCCCGACCCGAGTACGGAGTACTAGGGACACTAAAGAACCCCTAAGCGCAGAAGAACCAACCAAAAAGGGAAGTCGACAAGGTCGAAAGAAGCAATTGAACAACCGATCATCCATCAGAAAGTCAGAACCAGTTCAGAACCGCCCGCGCTTGGACCGAACCTGGGCAGTGGGCACAGGGACCAACCGTGAGACTATCCCACGAGGACCATAGTGAAAATATGAACACCCCTCCCCCCCCCCAAAAAAAAACAAAAAACAGATGAGAGTGGACCCATTTTTGACCCCTAAACTGCCTATGAGGTTTCGAGTATCAAACTACCAAACTAGACTATACTATCCTGGACTAAATCTACTCTCCTACACCGCGCCCCAAGAGCCAACATTAGACATCCAAGACTTAGACTAAGACGCAAGTTGGTTCTCTCCACTCGCCTGCAGCCCGCTTCTCCCCTTTTTGGCTCTGAAACGATCTCCAGGTTAATCTCCCGGATGATACAAAGGCTCTCATTTCCCCCCTCCTCCTGCTCCAGTCTTTTCTGATTCTTCTCTGTTTCTCTTTTCCTCAGATTCAACTGCTTGAAGCAATCAATCCTCTTGACTTCGGTCTGCCACTCTTTTAAACACAGCCCAACTGTCCACACTCTCTTTACCCACCAAACTCAATAACAGAATCAACCTTGACGGTTTAGATTTATCACCACACCCACAAACACAACATTCAAGATGCGTTTCTCCGTTGCCACCATTGCCCTCTTCGCCAGCCTCGTTGCTGCCATCCCCCAGGATGTCGAGACCGTCTACCAGACCGAGGATGTGACCATCATCTCTTGCGCTCCCACCGTCACCAACTGCCCTGGACGTGTCCACTCGACCTCCACCCCCGAGGCTGTCGCTGCTACCACCACTGAGGGCGTCTCTCCCGTTGCTACCACCACCTCCGTTCCCGAGGTCCCTGCTTCCTCCGTCACTGAGAAGCCCACTTCCTCTGTCCCCGAGGGTGCCTCCGCCGCTGGTACCACCGCTGCTCCCCAGGCTCCCGCTGGCAGCTCCCCCGCCGGTGGCTCTCCCGCTAGCGGCTCCGGCTCCGCTCCTTCGGCTCCCGCTGTTGTCCCCTCCGGCGCCTCTGCCGAGACTGCCGGTGGTGCTCCCCCCGCCGCTGCCAGCAGCTCCGTCACTGTCATCGCTGTGACCACCTGCGTTCCCACCGTCACCTACTCCACCGTCACTCTCGGAGCTGGTGCCACTGGCCTCCCTGGCAAGCCCGGCAGCGGCAAGCCCACCAAGTCCGCTGCTCTGATCCCCAGCGGTGCCGCCGCCATCGGCAGCGGCTACCCTAGCGGCAGCGCTACGTGAGTATTTCCCTTTTTTTTCTGCAGTGGATGCAGCATGTATGCAGACCAAACAGACGCTAACCCGGTACACAGCCCCTCCCCCTCTGCTGCTCTCTACACCGGTGCTGCCAGCGCCATCAACGGCAACTCCTTTGCCTTCGCTGGTGCCGCCGCCGCCGCCGCTCTTTTCCTTGCTTAGATTCCCCCTTCTAGTCCATAGTAGCCCCAGGTCCTTCATGAGAGTCCGGCCGTCAACTACGGGCGGGGGAAACCCTATAACCTAGGGCGAGTGTGTATAAATGAAGAGACCCTGTTGGGGGTTTGTGCTATATTTAGTGTCGAGGTTTTGCTTTCTGGGAGAGAAATCCGATCCGTTGCTTGAAATATTTCTTTGACCTATCTAACTTTCTCTACATGCTTCCTGGAACGCCTTGGGGGGTTCAGTGAAGCCTTTTTTTGGTGGCTGGATACGATTAATGTAACCCATGAGATTGCTCTCACATACCCAATTCGAAGCAGTAATAGATTACTTTACCAATGCTACTTTTCTTTTCTTCTTGATCTTGGGTTCGATCTTTTTCAGATTGACTTGTCACTTGATGAATATATTACCTTCTGACCGCGAGATCTCAAAATTCAGAGTTTGCTGCAGTTTGATTACTTGCGCAGAAAACCCCGCCCCGCCCGCCCAGCCAGCCCACGGTGGGTGACCTGCCACCGAGCGCTTCGTCCAGCCGTAGGTAGTCTAGTCTGCTGCCGGGGTCTTGACGTGTTCAATTGTGCCCACAAAATCCAGAGGCAAGGATAGGCTGATCGATGGGGCTGAATCTGGAGACGAGGGAGAGAGAGAGGGTGTGATTGTGCATGGGTGTTAGGTTGGGGGCCGCAGCATCGAGGGTTTCACAGGCAATCCTTCATCAATCGGCGACCGGGTCAGATCCGATCGCGGTGCGTTTCATTGGTGATTCTCGTCCTGCAACACGGAGGTGACCAAGCAGAGTTGAGGCTGAAGTATCTGAACACTGCCTCCCTGCCCCCTGCCCCCTGCCCCCTGCACACTGCTCACTGCACACTGCTCACTGCCAGTGAGATGGGTGGTGGTGGTGGTGGTGGTCCATCGCTCGTTTTATATGCTATGTTGGAGTGGGTTATTAGTCAGTCCATGAAAAGCATGTGCTAAATTAAAGTGACTTTATCTGGTCAATTGTGTCACCGTCAGCCCTATCTTTTAAGTTGGGAGAGATTCTTGGAGGTGGTTTCTAGAAGCATCAGAGGAGGGTCTCTGTTATCTGGTCTCCAACTAGGACGCGAGGGACTTGATGGTGGCTGTGTGTGTGCGTGTGTTGTTATTGCTGTAGTTATCGTTATTTATGATCAATCGATTTTCTCTTGCTGTTCCTAAGGCTTGCTGACTACGAACTCCGACTCCGGTCCTCCTCTTCCTCCCCCATTCGGGCTGGCTGGTCATGTCATGTGTTGGTCTCGGCCCGTCGCTTCTCATACTTCCTTCCCTTCCTCTCTCTCATTGTCGGTCTGACAACAACAACAACAACAACAGTCTCGCGTTGTATCTCGTACTGTTGTTCCCACCACCAACACAGACACGTGGAAAAGGGGCCTCTTATTTATCATCCTTCTGTGGGGTGGAAATCCATCTGGAGTCTAATGACCCAAATAGATTGACCTTTTCCGCCGTAATGCAGAAGCGGACACAAGCTCGGATAACAAAGGAAGTGGCAGTGTTCCGAACCATTGACTTGCCACCAACACACCAACGCCTGCGGCCATCACGCAGCCTCCGCTTCCTCAATCCCTTTGAGAGCTCTCAACTCTGAAACATGAGCTCCTGACCATGGCGTCTGCAGTCCATGGATGTCGCTCCATGCAGGAAAGCATGCTTTTTCTCGGCGTCCCCGCGTTCTGCTTCGTTCTGCTTTGGGCATAGTGGTTGCACATCACACAACATAGGGTGCACCCCCCCTCCCCCAAATCCTGCTGCGGTACGCCCTCTGCCCCTCCTCTAAGTGATGGGTCAAATCTTATGGGTCTTGGATCGGAGGTTACAGGGCAAACAGGAAGATCCTTCTATAGCGGGGGCAGAAGGCTCCCGACGGATCGGATTCCTGGCTGGTTTCCATACCAAGGCGAAGACCAGCCGGGCAACCCGAGTCTCCTCCACCAACAGATTGAGATCGTTCAATCCTTCCCGACCTGTTCATGAGCTGTCTGCTCCACCGCTTCCCCCCATTGCGCCCAGATAGCTTGGATCTGGTGAGCCCACAATGAGGCGCAAGTAAGGCTTTCCGTGCGGATTGGCCCTGTTGGTTGTCTTGTCCCATCTGACTTCTTTGTTGCTGTGACGGTCAAAGAAAGCCGTCATGACCGTGCACATCGGAGAGTTCAGCAAGACGCTCGGCGTCGTGATGCTGGTGACTCCGCCTCGACTTCATGTCTATTAAACAACAGCGTGGCCGCTGTCGGGACTTTTGTTGTCCAATTTCTCGCATGATTTTTCCCTCCCGCAGCTCTCGTATCCCCCTCCACCTTACTGCCTCCTGATATCGACTCGTACCACCCGAAGTGTACATGGTTGTTTCTCGCTACCAGGCTGTCTCGGCTGCTTGTGCTTTACCTTAACTCATTGCTCTGAACCCTACCCCACCGTCGCTACTTGGCCAAATGGATCTCTCGTCGCTAGAAGGCCCTCCCATCGCGGATTCCCGCTTTACTGTCCCATCGGAGAGCCCAAAGGAATACATGACTGTCCCACGTATTCGCCTTGATACTGGCTTGGCTAGCACACTACCTCAGCGTCCTGCCTCTGCAAGCGACTCTCCTAGGCCTAAGGCAGATTACTATCCATATTCACCCCAAGAGCGACAGGACCCTAGCCTCTGCCGCCGCTGTCATTTCAGAATACACTCAACTGGAGACCTGAGCACACCTAGCCCTCGCGAAGCAAGCCCATCGACATCCTCCTACCCGGCTCTCAACCTGCCCCCTCCTCCGCCTTCGTCATCGTTTGCTTATTCTCCCTGGGCGTCGCGAAGTAGGAGCATGACAGACCTTACTCTTCAGCCCACTCGCACCACTGGCCCAGTGTCCCGCGAGACATCCACTCAACAGGCTAGCCAGCTCATCTGGCTTGAGTCGGAAGAACTATGGGTCCTCAAGCCTCCGTCGCCCTTGTCATCGGCACCATATCTTTCCCCGCTGGCTCCTCGCCCGATACACAGTGCTACTGGTAGAGGTGGGCATCCATCCTCGCCATCAGTGTTCGATGACTATGCCTCCGACTCGGAATACTCCGACCAGCCTCCACCATATGAACATCACATCTACGATCGACCTTTTGTTCCGCTTCCCGATCGAGCAAGGGAAGATGGCAGTAGCCGGAGGTCGCGCTGGTCAGCTGTGGCTCGCAGGAGAGCAAATCGGGCTCTCTCGGGCTGAGAAAGACCCCTGACTAGTACTTTGTCTCGTCTTGTGTTGGAATGATGAGTGGACAACACTTTGGAGAGTCAAGCTGTGGTTCTTTTGGTTTCTCCCTCTGTACCTTGATTGCTTTTCTGCTCAGTTTGGCCCTTTTTGCTGCATCAGAGAGCGATGATACCCCCAACTTGGATTTAGTCTTGGTTTACTTCAGCTAGTTATACTTTATCGCTAATCAGCTGTGCTGCATACTAATCTTTGGTTGTAATTTACTTTATTCCATCCACTTTTGGAGACAGATGTTACCACGTGCTCACTGACTCTGCCCCATCAAAGCACTAAAGGCTCATACCCTCGCTTGACCTTTGAGACATAGCATATCTCAAGACAGTCCAATTTTTCCTGCTTTGTCATTTACAACACCGAAGAGAAGCTGAATCTTTTCATCCTGCTTATTCTCTCACCTTATATCTTTCCAGCTCTCATCTCCCCTTCACTGTCTGCATTTCTTCCTCCATCTGCATCTCTTCCACCCTCTGCATCTCTTCCACCCTCTGCATCTCTTCCACCCTCTGTATCTCTTCCATCATCCGCATCTCCACACACATCATCTCTTTCTCCCTTCCACTATCGGGTCCCCTCCATCTTCTTTCTCCTACTAATACCCTACTACTTCCACTCGACATCAAATATTATCGGTTGGAGATTATTGACTACACATCCATCGGCTCAACTGCTTGCTTCATCACACCTACTAGTTCTTGACGTGCTATTGACAGATTTCGTCATCTGTGCTTCGTGCAAGGTATCTAGGATCAGGCTACCATGTCGCTGCAGCCAGAAGATGTGGCCTTGGTCAATAACTTGGCTAAGATACATTACATGGTCGAGCAGCCATTTCGAAACGGCAATTTTCGTGCAGGACATAAAGCTGGTAAGCTCTTCCTGACATATGCCGGGGACGAATGAGATTTTTGGCTAAATAATGCATTACAGCATCCCCAGGTCCTGACTTGGACATTAAATGGAAAGACGAACCACCTCATATTCAAGCCCTGTATACAGCTCGAGCTTCTGAGCTAGCCTCATCAGATCAGTACAAGGGGGCACAGGTGAACGACCACGAGTTCGCCAATACACTTTACGCCAAGCTTTATGCAGGGCTAGATTCCAACCAAGTGGCAGCAGCTTTCCCAATCCAGCGTCAGTACTTCGCTCGTTAGAGCTCTGTCTCAAATTGTCTCAGCAACCGTGATAGTCTTGCTGACTTGTGTCTAAAGTTTTCGCTTTTATATCAGCAGTGAAAATGTTGCTGAGCCCTGACGATGTTTCTGGGTCGCGTTCAGCCCAAGGTGAGAAAGCCGGTGCGACGGAAAACTTACTCTCGCAGAAGGAGCACAATGCCACCAACGCAGATCAAGAAATTCAAGCGCTCGAGGCAGCCGTGAAGAAAGGTGTCAAGGTGCTCACAAGCTTGAGCCAACTCTTTGGCGAGCCTGATAATTGGAAAAGTGAGCCCGACTGGCCCAACAAAATCAAGCGCACTCAAGATAAAGCTCGCAAGGAAACAGTTGTCATTGGTGTTGCCGGAAGCACTGGCGCGGGGAAATCGTCCTTGGTCAATGCCCTCATCGACGATAAAGATATCCTAACCACAGATTGCATGCGAGCATCCACCGCGGTCCCAGTCGAGGTCCACTACAACAAAGGGCAATCGCGATATAGAGCAGAAGTTGTGTTCATTGAGCGCAAAGGCTGGGAGCGCGAGCTAAACACTCTATTTGCTGAGCTCCGTGGCTATTTAGAAGACCTTGCCCGTGGCGAAGAGCCAAAGGACGCCGAGGCAACAATCGCCTTACAGAAGATCATGGCTGTATACCCGGCCCTCGAGCGGCAAGCACTTTTCGAGACTTCGCCTAGCGAGCTTGTGAAGGATGAAAGAGTCTCGGACCTTCTGGCCCAGACTGTGAGGTTCGAAGACAATGACTCCAAGAGATTCGCTGATAATCTGAAGTTATTCATCGACAGCAAAGGTAAGAAAAAGAGCCGCCCTAAACCCACGGCTACAAATGTCGCCTCTAGCCACCCAACAGATTTGTCAGAAGGATTGAGTTCCGCTGACCAAGGTATCGGACTCTGGCCGCTAGTTCGAGTCGTGCGGGTTTATGTCAAAGCCAAGGCCTTGTCGACCGGGGCTGTTCTGGTTGACCTCCCCGGTGTCTCCGATTCGAATGCAGCACGCGTGGCTGTGGCTGATGATTACATGAAGCGGTGCTCTGCACACTGGATCGTGGCGCCCATCAATCGTGCAGTTAACGACAAAATTGCTCATGATCTGTTGGGCAAGAACTTCAAAATACAGATGCATATGAACAATGCATTCAACGACATCACGTTTGTCTGCACAAAGACCGACGATCTTGTTCCAGCAGAAGTGCTGCAATCTCTAGGGCTCGAGCTCCCACCTATTGATGGCTTGGAAGAGTTCTCAGACAGGCTTGACGCTCCGAAGATCAAGACTCGAGAATTCCGGGACCGAAGAGAACAAATTCGCACAGAGCTCGAGCCAATTGAAGACGAAATCGATGACTTAGAAGAGCGACTGAGGGGTGAAGACATCAACCTTGATGCGGCTCTGCTTACTCCCCAGAAAAGGAAGAAGACCAGAATTCATGACGACTCAGCCCAAGATGCGCTTCTTCGACTAAGCGATGATGCAGGCATGGAGTACTCAGATTCAGACGACGCTGAAGATGATGTTCATGAACTTTTACGTCACCTGCAAAGTCTTAGGGCCCAGCGAAAGAAACTCCAAAGTCAACGGCGTGATACCGACCGGAAGATTGCAAAGTATCAAAAGCACGAACTTGATGATCTTCGATTCTGCATCGCGGCTCGTAATAAATTTGCGAAAGAGCAGATCAAACATGACTTCAGTCAAACCATCGCAGGCTTGGACCAAGAAGACGAGCAGCATGATGACATCTATCTCCCAACCATGGCTCGGGACTACAGCGAGTTTGAACGAAATCTCTCCGTGTACTGTGTGTCTACTAAAGCGTATCAAGAACTGCGTGGTCATTCAAGACGGGGCAACAGGCTCCCTGGGTTCTCGGATCTAGAGCAAACGGAGGTTCCTGCTTTGCAACAGTACTCCATTGCGCTGACTCGCAAATCCCGCGAGAAGACTGCCCGGCGTTTTTTGGTGGCGTTGAATTCGCTCCTTCAATCATTGACCTTGTGGTCTGCACCGATCACGACAGCCGCGCGCACTTCTGCCCAGAAGAGACAGCAGATGGAGGCCGAATTCCGGAGCGCGGTAGACGACCTGACCGAGGTAGGAGCGAGACTTGACTTATGTTGTGACAGAATTGATTGAATATTCTAGGCCATGAAAAGACCTCGGGCTGTCTTCGTTGCCAGCAGCCGAGCTACCATCCAAAGCCAGATCATCGCAAATCTAGGTAAGTCTACCAATGGCCAAGAGAAATCCCGGCTAACGAGTCAGACCAAGCATGGCGCCACGGTTGTGACGAGTTTTCTCAAACGGTTGGTTGCTGGAATGCCCCTCATCAACAAGAAGGATTCCGTTGGAATAGGTATCAAGCATTCTGTCGCCGGCAGGGTGTTCATGACAACCGGGTAAGTTTTGCCCCTCCTCTAACATGCATCAACAACTGAAGGCTAACAGCACTCTAGAATTTGAATGAGGAAATGTGTGACTGAACCGAACGTGCTACACATTTTTCGATGGAGCTGACCCTGTCATAGAGCACAGCCGATGATCGCGAAGATCAAGCCTGGATGGCGCAGGTAGGTCGATATGTGTGCATCATTCTAGAGCTTCTAACTAACTAACCATAGTGCATCTGATCAATTGCCTGATGCATATAAGCAGCTGCGTGAAGAATTCGAGAAAGTCGTCAGCCGCTTCCATTCCGAATCCATGCGCTGGATCACATGGGACTCGCCTCGGACTACACGCGCGCGACTCCAGCGCCGACTGGTTGCTTTGCACGAATCAATAAAACAGGGATTGGAGGATCTTCAAGCATGGACGGACCGTGAGAAACGCGACAAAAGAGGTTGTTTCAGGGCGAGTATTGCTACGGGACTTCAAGCAACCTACCAAGCTTGCGCTCAGTATACTGGTAAGCCTGCTGAGATGAGGCAGCACGAGCATAATGTATTGATATCAGTGTCAAACTAGGCCGCGGCGTTTTGAAGGCGATCCGTACAACGATGTCCGAGCATGCTGAGAAGCAAGGCCCTTCGCTATTCTGTAATGCTGCGGATCAAGTTAGCCAGGTGCTGGAAGAATGGCTGTGCGAATTGGATACAAAGCTCGAGAAGTTGGTCAAAGAACTATTGCAGGAGGTTGCGCAAGACTATCATCGTGCCCTGATCGCCCCGCATCTTCAGCATCGCGCGGATGAGCACACGGGCTTGAAAGCCCAGATCCGAGATCTTCTCCGTGACGCTGAGGCCGACTTGCAGTTGGACCGTTTGCTGGGCGAGGATGGTCCGTTGCAGCATGAGCAGGCGCCTCCAATGGACCAGCAAGAACCGGCGGCTACAGGAACTACGGCGGACTCAGCTGCTACGTAACAAACTCCGAAAGAGTGACTACCGGTATTTAAGCTGACGGATGATGAGCAAGAGGCCTTGGAGCGATCATCGAATGTTGATTGGGGCGCACAGGCCTGGGTTGGGCCGGAGCGCGGCGTGTCCATGGGGAGAGGGGAAGGTTAAAGTTAAGCCTTTTGGGTTTATTTTTTTTCTTTGGCTCTGGGAGAAAAATGAAGGGAGAGAAGAGAGGGAAAGCAAAGAAGGGGACTATGGGGTACTTTTGTCCGTTAGTTCGTCCTGCTCATCATCTATCGGCCAGACTGTCCAGTTCAGTGATAGTGACCAGCAGCACCCCAGATAGATAGAAAGGGTAGAACCAAATGGAAGCGCTTTGATTGCTTGCTTGCTTGCTTGTTAGCTTGGTAGTTTGGTAGCTAGCTTGAAAGACAGGAACTAGCCTAAGAGAATTGTTTGATTGAAAGAGGGGAGCATGACGAGGCGAGCAGAGGGAGAGGCTAAGAGGAGGGCGAATATTGGCCAGGAAACGTCCAGCCTCCGGAATTATGGCGGGTGGGCGGACTCCATAAAGAGTTGGGGCCTGACAGCCGGTGACAGCGGGTGGGTTTATTATTTTGAGGGAGATTCGGACTTGACCTTGGAATCTTCTGCTTTATTGCTTGCTCTGTTGTTGTTCTTGTTATTCTTCTTGGTCTTGCTGTTGCTCTGCTCTGCTCTGGGAGCTGTTCTGTTCTGCAGTGTTGATTCTAGGTTGTGCTTATCGTTTCTGTTCCCCTCTTTGTTTGGGGAGTGAGTCAGCAGGATCCAGATAGGACAGAACAGAAAGTAGGTACAGTACACGGTGCAGTCCACTGGACACTGTACTGAGTGAGTGATCTGGTGCAGTGGTTGGGTGTTAGACTTGTTGTTGCTGGTTGTATCATCTTCATCAGCATCATCAGCATCATCAGCATCATCCTCATCCTCCCCATCCTCATCATCCTCATCTGCTCTTCTTCTCTTCTTCTTCCACCGCCTTCGTTCTACTTCGACACCTCCGCTGTGCTCCACCAATCAGCGGGACATCCACCATGGGTCTCCCGCATCTTTTCTTCTCTCGTCACAAATCATCCTCACATTCCAAATCCAAGTCTACCAAATCTTCCTGTTCCTCTCCCTCTTCTTCCTCTTCCCCTTCCCCTTCCCCCTTGTCCACTTCTTCCACTTCCTCCTCCCCGTCTTCCTCTGCGGCGACTTCCACCCGATCCACTCCACTCTCGTCTCCCGCCTCCTCTCCTCCTCCCCCTCCGCCGGTGGCGACCAAATCTTTTCCTACTCCTCCTTCCTCAACTCCTCCCTCCACTCGACCTCCCCCTCCTCTTCGGGCAAAGACTGTTCACTCTTCTTCTTCCTCTCGACACTCTCACTCTTCCTCCGCCGCTTCTCGTCCCGTCTCGTCGACACGTGCTCCGCAGTCGTCATCGGTTCCAGCCTCGACTCAGCACCCTTCCATTCCGCGCAGTCCCACCACTGCTCGGCCGACTCACCACAGTCGCTCCTCCTCCACCCCCTCCAAGTCAGCCTCCGTTCGGACTAAGTCAGTCTCCGGTCCTCGTGCGTCGCTGTCCGCCGTCCGGAATCGATACACTCACGACCCCGACTTCCACCCACTTAACCTTCATCCCGACGAACTCCGTCAACTCTCCGCAATGGCTGCTGCTCGCGAAGAATCCCGCACCCCAATGGATGTCGACACCAATGGCGTCAATGGCAAGACGGAACGGAGCCCTACGCCCCCTCCCCACCGTTCGAACGGCAACACTGCCGAGGCCGACAACTTCAAGCTGGCCGGTAACAAATTCTTCAAGGATGGCAACTACACACGCGCTATTGAGGAGTTCAACAAGGGTAGGTTCTTTCGTCTCCAGACTCGTGCACTCATGGCAAGATCTAATCGTCACATCCGACAGCCCTCGAGATCAGCCCCGACTCGTCCGTCTACCTGTCCAACCGCGCGGCCGCCTACATGGCCGCAAACCAGTATCTAGCCGCTCTGGAGGACTGTGAGCGCGCCCGCGAACTCGACCCCATCAATACCAAGCTCATGTATCGTCACGCCCGCATTCTGGTCAGTCTGGGTCGTCCGACCGAGGCTCTCGATGTGCTCTCCCGCGTCGAGCCCCCGGCTTCCGCTACCGACAAGGCTCCCGCCGAGAAGATGCTCCGGTTTGTCAAGCAAGCCGAGGAGGCTTTGGCTGAAGACCGTGGTGTGTCGATGGTGCTGTTCTGCCTGGACCAGGCGCGTCAGATGCTGGGTCAGGGTGTCAAGGAGCCTCGCAAGTGGACGCTGATGACGGCCGAGGCGCACTTGCGCATGGGTAACGACAACTCCTTCGGCAAGGCCCAGGATATCGCCATTGGCATGCTGCGCGAGAACAGCCAGGATCCCGATGCGATGCTGATCCGCGCCCGCGCGTTCTATGGCATGGGTGACACTGATCAGGCGTTGAAGCTGCTCAAGATGTGCCTGGGTCTGGATCCCGACATGAAGGCGGCCATCAAGATGCTGCGCACCGTGCAGAAGTTGACGCGCACCAAGGAGGAGGGTAACACTGCTTTCAAGGCCAAGGACTATCGCAAGGCCATCGAGTTGTGGACCGAGGCCGTCCAGGTCGACCCCAAGAACAAGGACCAGAACGCCAAGATTCTGCAGAACCGCGCCCAGGCCTACATCAACTTGAAGGAATACGACAATGCGGTCAATGACTGCACGGAAGCTCTGAAATTGGACCCCAGCTATCTCAAGGCACAGAAGATTCGTGCTAAGGCTCATGGCGGTGCTGGTAACTGGGAGGAAGCCGTGCGCGACTACAAGGCTGTTGCTGAGACGAACCCAATGGAGAAGGGCATCCAGGAGGAGATCCGCCGGGCTGAGTTCGAGCTGAAGAAGGCACAGCGCAAGGACTACTACAAGATCCTCGGGGTTTCCAAGGATGCATCTGAGCAGGAGATCAAGAAGGCTTACCGCAAGATGGCCATCCAATACCACCCCGACAAGAACCGTGATGATCCTACTGGTGAGGAGAAGTTCAAGGAGATTGGTGAGGCTTATGAGACTCTGATTGATCCTCAGTATGTGCTCCCTTGGGTTCCTGTTGATAACATAGCATACTAACGAGCGACCAGGAAGCGCGCCTCTTACGACAACGGTGACGACCTCGTTGACCCGGCTGACATGTTTGGCCGCGGCGGCATGGGAGGTATGCACGGCTTCGGAGGTATGGGCGGCATGGGCGGCATGGGCGGTATGGGTGGTATGGGCGGTATGGGTGGCACCCATATCAACATCGACCCCAGCGTTCTCTTCAACATGATGAACGGCGGAGGTGGCTTTGCTCAAGCCGGTGGCCAGCGCGGCGGAGGTTTCCCTGGAGGATTCTCCTTCTAAGCGTGACCAATTCGCTTGGGTACACTAACCTTGTTTTTTTGCATGACGAAAATGGGCGCATTGCACGGAAAGTCCGTCTTCCGTGTCTGCCAAATTCACGATGCATCACAGATAAACCGGGATGGGTCCTTTTCTTTTCTCCTTGTCATTGGCATATTCGCTCATACCATACATACCCACTTTCTCGTCGTGCAATCGCCCCATCCGACTCCCTCCATCTTCGACAGCCTCTCCGTGTCTCCTTTCATACTCTCCAACCTCACGAAGTTTCTAATACCTTGGAAGTCCTTTCTGATCCCAGCATGCATGACCAACAGAACGATGTCGTTGAATGATGGGATGATTGACGGTTTTGAATCCGATAGACTTTTGTTTTTTCTTCTTCTAATCTTCTTCCCTCCCCTCACCCACTTTTCCCTGTTCATGATGCATGGCAAGGGCAAAGCAAGAGGAAAGAAAGTGTGTCTTATTTTTTTTCTGATTTCTGGTTTCGTGGGCTCCGCTAGTGAGAAAGAATCCTTTCCGGCTTCGCTACTAGACGATAACGACAGATGAGAACGAGGCCCCCGTGCTTGATTTTGTTAGCCAGGTTTTTTTTTTCTGTACTGTTGTGATGGCAATAGGCGTTATATACCTGGGATGAGATGAGTGACTTTTTTTAGTGTTTTGCCACACCTTTTATTTTATTTTATTCTTTGTTTATGCCAATAAGGTTCTCTCTTTTTTGTTTTCTAGATCCTGGATTCGGATGAGATCAATACTTTTTTACTCTCTATCCTTCTTCTGGAGGTTGGATATGTTGTAGATGAGTTGGTTGTAAATTGTAAGACTCGGATGGCCATGGGATTTGCTTGGCTACGCTGTGTAATTCTCTTTGGGGTGGTTGGTAGATTTTGAGTCTGACGGTTAGGGTTCGAAGGTTCCTTAGGTTGACTGCGCAGGTACCTAACCAGGGATTTATATTCTCAGGCTCTGCTACAACAGCTAGGGAACTGTGCACCAGAGAGGATGGGATCAGACAGGTAGGGATAGAATCGGATAGGATAGGATTATATACTGAATGTACGATGTTCTATGTTACTATCCACATTGAACGAGCGAGAGAAGCCTAACTCAGCGGTCGGTATCTCAAGCCCAACAAGCCAATCCGGGATCATCAAAACGAAGGGGGGGATATCTGAAGCAAAGCACTCAGAACTGGAAAGCAATCAAAGCAAATGGTAGGAAGAGGAGAGAATGGGGGTGGAGGGAGTAAGTAGTATCAACATCATCGCCATGCAATGCAATGCATACAACAGGCAGACAGGCAGGCCAAGTGCTCATACAGTCATCATCATCACTGTTACCCACAACAAGAACGAGAACGAGAACGAGAAGCAGGGTCACCTATGCCATAGCTTCGGTACCGTACATGCTGTACATACTGCACTGGACCTCAGGCGACTCGGGCACGGCGCGCAAGTTCAATATCCCAACCCGGCCAACACCGTCCTCGTCTCATTAGCCGCCAAGCCGGACACGCCCAGCGCGCGGGACAAGGTGCCGCGCCGCAAGCGCTGCAGCCCGATGGCCACCTTCCACCCCTCGGTCTCCTGCAGCACGAACACATACCGTTTCCCTTCCTGGTCGCGCACCGATGCCCGCAGCACGTGTAACCCGCCGCCGGGCTTGGCCGGGGTGGCCAGACGGCATGTGTTCTTGCACACCTTCAGCAGGTTGGCGAGGTAGGCGTCCGATTCCTCGGCGGTGGGCTCGTTGGTGCGTTTCGTGAAGGGGCCGGGGGGCGGGCCGCGCGGGGGGTGCGGGTGCTGCGCCGCGTAGCGCGGGCACCACACCTCGACGAGTTTCATCGTCCACGCTTTCACGTCCCACTCGCGCTGGCCCACGCCGCGGACGTCGTCGTCGATGAACAGTCCCTCCGTGGTGATGCGCAGCACGAGCCCGTCGGAGACCATCCCCTGGCCGGCGACGAGTTGCGCCACCGGTGTGCGGAGGAAGGCGTTGTTGAAGGCGTAGACGCCGTGGACGACGACTTTATCGGGGTCCTTGGTCGCGTAGGGCCCCCGGTTGGACGGCGGGGGCGGGGGGTCGGTGCGCGCCGTGGATTGGGAGGGCGCGTACGAGGAGGATTCCGAGTAGACGGAGGAGCTGGAGGTGGTGGTTGTCGTGGCCGTGCCGTAGGGGCGGCGGACGCGGTCGTAGGGCCGGAAGGAGTGGGCGTCGTCGTCGGCGGTGGCGGAGGATGTGGTTCGTGAGGTGGTAGGGGGTTTCTTGGTCGGGGATGGGGTTCGTGGAGCCGATGTTGCCGATGCTGCTGGTGCTGCTGGTGCTGCTTTCGCTTTGGCAGCCGCGGCGGCCTCCTGCGCGTCTTTGGCCTTTTTCTCGGCGTATTTCTTCGCGGCGGCCTCCTTGAGGGCCGCGAATTTGGCATCTGCCTCCTTCTTGGCCGCGGCTTTGGCGGCGGCTTCTTTCTCCGCTGCCTCCTTCTCCGCCTTGGCCTGGGCCTCGGCTGCCTCGCGCTCCGCGCGGGCCTTGGCCTCGGCCGCTCGCCGTTGCTCGCGCTCGCGCGCCTGCGCCGCCAGACGGTCGGCGCGCGCCTTCGCCTCGGCGGCCTCTCGTTCGGCCTTGGCTTTGGCCTCGGCGGCTTCGCGCTGGGCCTGCGCTTCGGCGGCCTCGCGCTCCGCTTTGGCGCGGGCCTCGGCGGCTTCCTTCTCAGCGCGCTCGCGGGCCTCGCGCGCGGCGGCTTCCTTGGCGGCGGCCATCTCCTTCTCGAGCTGTTCGCGTCGCTCGCGCAGTTCGCGCTCCATCGCCTCGCGCTCGCGCTGCTTCTGCTTCTCGCGCTGCTCGGCTTCGCGCTTGCGCTTGAATGCTTCCATCTTGCGCCGGAGTTCTTCCTTGCGTCGCGTTTCTTCGCGGGCTTTCTCCCAGTCAGCGCCACTGGAGGGCTTGCTGGATGCTGAAGGGGTGGGTTCGGGCTCTGGTTGAGGTGGTGGCGGCGGTGGTGGCGGTGACGATTGGGGTGGTGGTCCTCCTGCTTGCTGTTGTTGGTACTGATGTCCTCCTCCTGCTCCATAAGGTCCCCCACCTCCTCCTGGTGGTGGTGGTGGAGGTGCTGCTCCTCCTGGGTTGTTGTTGTATGCGCCTCCCCCGTAGTGCTGTTGCCCGTGTCCCCCACCCGGCGCTCCTCCATAGCCCTGATTCCCTCCGCGCGCATAATCATTACCTCCACCCCCGGGACCCGGGCCCCCGCCTCCTCCAAAGCCCCCTCCACCTCCCCCACCGAATCCGAAACCTCCCCGCTTCCCGCGATTACTACCTCCGCTGGCCCCGTCACCACCACCGCCGCCGCCGCCAGTACCCGCCTGTGCAGCGCCAAACGCCCACCCAGCCACACCCACACCGACCGCCAGAATCGCGATCCCCATGCCGTTCCCGCTGGCGACGGTGGCGGCGTACCACGACTTCAGGATCGGGGAGACGGCCACCCAGACCAGCATGGCGAGGAGGGTGGAGACGCAGCCGGCGATGAAGCTGTTGCGCTGGGTCTGCAGGGAGGGGAGGTAGAGGAAGCCGGAGCCCGCGGAGTGCGGCGGGATGATGAAGATGTCGTAGTTCCCCGGCGGGAGATCGGAGGTTTTGCGGTATTCGCCGTGGGTGGTGTTCGGCTTGGTGCCGTGGGGTGGTGGAGGGGGTGGGGGTGGACCGTCGTCCATTTTTTGGGTGGAGTAATTGGTATTTTTTCCAGATACTGATTAGATTATGTGATAATAGATGTACGTAGTTGAGTATAGATGGTGGTAGGGCGTGTTTCTTGAGGGATGCAGGGTGGAGGGTGGAGGGTTGGTTGGCTTCGGCGACAGCAACGGGTGGTCCGTGGGTTTGGTTGGGGTATTATTGTAGGGTCTGGGGTAGAGAGATGGGGGGCGGCCGTCAAACTCGGTTCTTTGAGGTTATGTTTGGAGTGGAGGGTGCAGCTGGCTGGGATATTTTGATTGCGTCCGTCGAGAAGTGTTAATGCAGGTGAGAGAGATGGTCGTGTCGAGGTGGTCGTGGATAGGGCATGGTGATTTAGCACGTCATGAATTAGGCGCTGATGGTGGCAGCGCGTTTGCTGATAGGACGCTGTCAGTATTTTGTTTTTTTCGCTCTCTCAATTTTCATTGAGGGATTGGAGTAGGAGAAGATGAGACTCACTAATTAGAGGGGGGGGGGAAGAGTCAATGCGCAGTCAATGCGACGGAGATGTTGAGAGAAGAGAAAAGAAAAGAAGAGAGGGGAGAGTTGGAAGAGGAAGTTGTCGGGAGTGGACAATGGACAGTTGACAGTTGACAGACACACTACAAACTAGCCTGTATAGTTACTAATTAACTAGTTAATTAGTTGACTGATAATCCTGGCAAATGACAACTTAGTGTCACCCTCGGAGACTTCTGGTGGCACTTTGGGTGTTTACTCAGAGGCAACGGTCGGTGTTACCTCTTAATAAATCAATTGATCTAGTTGACTATCTTGATGAGCATTTAAAGATGCGTGTGTGAATGGTGGTGTTTCAGTGCATACGCGGCCCACAGGATGGCAGTTCTCATAGACTCATTCATATAAAGTAAGTACTCGAGTACTCCAATCTACGGATCGATACCCACATCGGATCCCCATCTCCATCCACATTTTTGCGGCGGACAAGCGACCCAGCAGATCTCCGAGAAGCCATGGAGAATGATTCTATCAAGGACCCAAACATTCCAGCCTGCAAACCAGTCCGCCAGCCAGCCAGCCGTCGGATCTCCACCACGGAGAACTCATCCGTAGGAGGCTTAAGTTTGGCAAGAATGAGCTGCTGCTACCGTGGGATAATAATATCATCAACAGGATATAGTCGAGTAAAATACTCAAGTACTGCAGTCTGCAGTCCATAGTGGAGCCATGCTCGCATGCTCGCATGCTCTGACCAGGCGGTGGTCTTTGTTTGTTTTGGTTTCGACGCTTTGGGCGATGGTCGCCTGGTAGATATTAAGAGGAAAATTATGCCGAAGCTGACATAAGCTATGTCATTGCATCCCGTCCACATGCTTTCCGCCTTAGGCCAGTAACCTCGATCGTCTTGTCCACGGCGGTGGTAGACAGGTAGTCAATACTGTTTCAAGGTTATTAATAGATGCGCTGGACTGATAGCCAGTTTAGAAATAGATAGAATAGACTGACCTCTTCGTCTCTCCAAATTACTTCCGCCTGACAGCCATGCTGAGTTGACCCCGTGAATTGCAGCCACCGGCCAACATCACGGGTGCCTGTGATGCCTGTGATGCCTGCCTTGCCCCCGATGCTGGACCGGATTGCGTCAACTATCTCGAGACCACAACACATCGGACGAAAAGGCTGGCAGAAGGCTCGCTAACATCTGTCTCTACCTCTCTCTTCCACTCTCTGTTAAAGTAAACATACCTGTTCAACACAACGAAATAGACTTGTTGATAGCATTCTGCCCTCCTGGGTCCAAGGCGGTCAATCCCCTCGTCTCCGACCTCCACCTCCCCCTGCCCGGTCATTCATCGATCGATTCCCCCCCCCCCCATTCCACCCCATTCCGATTCCCCCTCAGTCCTGCTGGCTGCTGTTTGTGCTGCTGCCTTTTTGCTTTCTCCCCCGCTACTTTCTGACTCATTGATCTATATTCATTAACCTTCATTTTTGGAGAAACCCTCTACAACATCTCCCTCTTCCCCGCGCCAACTGTCCTCTCGCCCCCGTCTACCTCGGGTTAAGCTCCTTAAACCCTCACTATCGTCACCACCACCGATCCCTTGGATACTGACCCCGGGCTCGATATACCGATCGATACCTTCTTGATTCCGCGTCCTATGCAGCAGCCATAGACCTCTTTTTGTCCGCCACATCGACCGTCGAGCCCCGAGAGGGCCCCTCCTCCTCCGCCCCTCTCCCCCTAATCCGATCGCTCCCGCAACATGTCCTCCCAACAACCAAACCCTGCCTCGTACCAGAGTCATGCGGCGCCTCATCTGCCCATTCCCGTCTACAATCCGGTAGCGGCGATCGCAGCCCCCGCGGGGACTTTCCTACCCGGGACCAAAGTTCAGGTTGGCAGTCATCGCGTCGTCGTCGAGAAATACCTCTCCGAGGGAGGCTTCGCCCATGTCTACGTCGTGCGCCTACCCCAGCCCGTCGATGGCTCCGATCGGGCAGTTCTCAAGCGCGTGGCGGTCCCGGATAAGTCGGCCCTAGCCAACATGCGCACCGAGGTCGAAACCATGAAGAAGCTCAAGGGGCATCGGCACATCGTCACCTACATCGACTCCCATGCGTCACAACTCCGCGGGGGTGGATACGAAGTGTTTTTACTCATGGAGTTCTGCGATGGCGGCGGTCTGATCGACTTCATGAACACGCGGCTGCAGAATCGCCTGACCGAGCCCGAAATCATCAAGATCTTCTCCGACGTGGCGGAAGGCGTGGCCTGCATGCACTACCTCAAGCCCCCGCTTCTGCACCGCGATCTCAAAGTAGAGAACGTTTTGATCTCGCGCCAGGGCAGGGCGGCCCTTTACAAGCTTTGCGACTTTGGATCGGCTGCGCCCCCTCGCCCGGCCGCCACCTCTGCCGCTGAGGGCCGGTTGATTGAAGATGACGTCCAGCGCCATACCACCCTGCAGTACCGCAGTCCCGAGATGATTGATGTCTATCGGAAGCAGCCGATTGACGAGAAGAGCGATATCTGGGCCCTGGGGGTCCTGTTGTACAAGCTGTGTTATTATACCACCCCGTTCGAAGAGGTTGGCCAGATGGCGATCTTGAATGCCAGTTACAAGTTCCCGAGTTACCCGGCCTTCTCGGATCGCTTGAAGATGCTGATCGGTAGGTTCCCCGGACATTGCAGTGATGGCCGCGCTAACCCAGCCAGCTTGGATGTTGAAGGAACTCCCGCAGAAGCGGCCGAATATTTATGAAGTGGTGCGCGAGGTCTGTCACATGCAGGGCAAGGAAGTCCCCATCGGTGATGTAAGTACTGCGGTTACCTGTCACATTGCTTGTCCTAATAACTCGGACAGATCTACGCTGCTCGCTCCACATCGGAAGCCCGCCGGTATCAGGAATTACCGCCCTCTCCCACCGAGGCGCCACAGGTTGGTGCCGTCTTCTCTCCGCCGGTTCAGGAGACCCAGATCATTCCTGAGATCGCACCGATGCGCCGCGGCCGTCCCACCAGACCGACGCAGTCCCCGCACCACTCGGCTAAGCCCAGTCCGTCCCCATTCCGGGGGTCCGGGGATCCTTTCTCCGTCCTTGACAATGCCCAGCGTCCCCGCGACTCAGCGGACGAATTTACCAATCGTTTTCCCTCGTTGGATCAATTCCAGATTTTGCACGAGAAGGGGGGTAAGTTCGACTTTGAGTCTGCCGTGCCGGAGTCTAGTCCGGAAGATGATGACCTTGCGCGGCGCCTCACCAATGCGCTGGCGGACGATGCCTTTGCCAAGCACCAGTCGCCGGGTCCGGAGGGATCTACCAGCCAGCGTCCCACGCAACCTCCGTCGACCCAATCTGCTCCGGTCGAACGCGTCGAGAATGCGCGCGATGAAGGACGCGCCTCGGTGCCGCTGTACCAACCGGCCCCGCAGCGACCTACTATGGTCTCGACTGGTACGATGACCTCGCCGCCGCCGACGCCTGGTGTGGCCGATCACAAACCGTCTAGTCGCCCCGTTTACAAGTTCCCCCCGGCCAACCATCAGCGACGCCCATCCAGCCACAAGCAGCCATCAGAGTCGGACCTCAAAGCCAAAGCTCCATCGCCGTCCACGAACGCCGTGGTCCAACCTCGAGGGTCCTCGGATCGGATCTCCGATTTGTCGGCGTCACCCCGACCCTCCCTCGAAGGTGGCCGACCCAGCAATCTGGAGGTGGGCGAGTCGGCAGGGCGTTCGCGCTCGGCCAACGGTCGTTCCCGCCCGGTGTCGGTCCATGCTGGGGCACGATACGACCTACCCCGTGGGTCGGAGAGCGCGCGCTCGTCCCTGGATCTGCCCCGGTCGCCCTACTATGAGGGCGGGGCACCGTTGCAGCATGCGCGGACGGAGGCGGACTCGCTGGCCAACATCTCGTCGGACGTGGACTATCTACGCGCGCGGGAAGAGGAAAGCAACAAGAAGCGCGACAAGCGGTACAGTGGTACAGCCAAACACGGCAAACGGTCGAGCTTGTCGACCTTGTCGCTGTCCGGCACCAAGATGTTTGCGGGGCGGTTCGGCGACGCCTTTCGACGGTTCGAGCACAGTAACTCGGAGAGCAAAGTGCAGTCACCCGTTACCGAAGAGGCACCCGCCAAGTCTCCTATGATGCTCACGAGTGCGGATCTGACCTCGGAGCCGGCCAGCGAGCTAATTGACATGGACGGCAACGAGGATATCTCGCCGGAGATGCGGCGGGAGCTGGAGCGGCGCCGGCTCTCCCAGGAGGAGAAGCGAGTCGCCAACGCGGCCGCCGAGTATCGGAAACGGGTGGCTGAAGGCGGACAGCCTGGGGCTGGGGCTGGGGCTGGTGGGTGGCGCGACGGGCCACGGTCGCAGGCGATCCAGAACAAGGTGCAGTCACTCCTCGGCGAGTCGGCCCGGGCTCCTCCGCCGCCTAAGACGGCGACGGGCTACGGACGATACACGGACGAGACGGCGGGGGCTTTGCCGGCAAAGCCTACGGAACTGCGGTCGAGCCGGGCGAGTGCGCCAGCCGAGCAGCCGATGAGCATTGGCAAACAAGCTACGGCCAGCGGGCGGCCGGGGTCTTCCTCGGGGGCACCGCGTCCGGCGCTGCCTCCAAAACCGAAGAGTCTGCGCATGCCCACGGGGATGGAAGGGCAGGCGGGCAGTCAGGATCGGAGTCCCACGGTGGCGGCGACGCCAGCCAGTGCGGGCGGGGAGGATTGGGAGGCCAACTTCAGTCGGCGGTTTCCGAGTCTATCGGGATTAGAGATGGAGACGGAGATTGAGTTGCCGCGGGTGGCTCCTAATAGTCTACGGACGAAGGAGGTATAGTTGGTCGGGTCGTTGGTATAAGTACCTACATATATGCTTAGAGCGTGGTTGTGAGCGATGTGAGCGTGTGAGCTATAATTGTAGTATTGGTGGTGTGGATAGACTTGTTTCAAGTTAATAACTTACAGCTGCATATGATTTCGATGGATCGATTGTTGAGACACTATAGATCAGATTGATTGTATATTCATAGATTGTTGCTCGGGCACCGGGGCGGTGGATCTCCCAAAGCGGTTAGCGCAGTATTCCGTGCTTCTCCTCTTCTCCTCTTCTAGTTTCAAGGTTCTTCTCCGCACCACCTCCGAGACATTCAGCAGCTTCTCATCATCAAGCACTCATCAATCACCATGGCCCCAGTAACTCTCACCACCGTCGACCGTACGTTCTGACTCAATGCATCACATTCCCGTATACTAACGCAGTCCATCTCCTCACCACCAGATGACCTAAAAGAAATCATCCAACACCTGTTCGAGATCCAATCCGCCGTCCACGGGTACCTCGGTCCGGAGACCCAACAAGAGCTCGTCCGGAAGATGTACGTTGTGCCCTTTCTCTCTCCCCCCCCCCAAAACAACCCCGAATACTAACTCCCTTGGCCAAACCCCAGCAAAAACCTCACCCTCGCCCTCCAAACCCTCCAAACCCACACCGCCCCCACCAACCCGGACGCCACCTCGACTGCCAGCAGCAACCCCACCACCACCAACCCGCAGGACCCCCCCCTGGGGAGCGTGCAACTCCCGCCGGAGATTATCGATTACGTGGACGCGGCGCGCAACCCGGACATCTACACGCGCGAGTTCGTGGAGCTGGTGCAGCGCGGCAACCAGGACCTCAAGGGGAAGAAGGAGGCCTTCCGCGGGTTTCGGGACGTGCTGGCGCGGGAGATCCGCGGCGCCATGCCCGAGTGTCGCGGGGAGGTGAGGCGGGTGTTGGAGATGACGGGGGGGGAGGATTGATTTTTGGGGGGGGGGGGCATCAATAGGGAAGCTGGGGGGGCGTTGTTTTTCTTGTTGGATTTAAAGGGGGAAAGAGGGTTTTTGTTGTATCGGTTGCGAGCTTGGGTTTTTAAATGTGGATGGCGTTGCTGGGGGGGTAATATGGTTTATGTCATGGTGTTTCAGAGTTCGGGAGTTTTGGTTTTTGCAATGGATGGGGGGTATTAAACTGCCGATTAATTAATTAGGTGAAGCAGGCAGTGCTGGGGCTGGAATGATACAACTCATAATCCATCTCAACCAAAAATAACCCTTACGTATCCGAAAGGTGAATGGTGAATGACATTTCCAGGTCCACGTGTTGCCGGCGGACGCAGGGGATGATCGTATCGCGATCGGAGACACAGAGCTGGGAATGATATCAGTTACTAGGTAGGTAAATTATGAGTACCAATTAATAACCAGTAACTAATCTATTACTCTGCCAATCGAGGGAGTGACGAGTCGAGTGGAGCTGTCTTTTCCCCGCGTTTGTTTGTCGGTCAATCCGGGTCTAGTAAAGGATGACTGCATAGGTTAGTCCTTATTTAGTATCTTCTCGTGACTCGCTGCCTGTTCATCCTCTCCTCTCCTCTCCTCTCGTACTCTTACTCTTACTCTTTCTTCTCTCTGCTCTCGCACACACTCTCTTCTCTTCCCTCTTCCACTGCCTCCCTCTCGCTTCCTCTTACCCTTTCCTCTCCTCTCCTCTCCTCTCCTCTCCTCTCCTCCTCTTCTCTCCGCTCCTCTCTATACTTCCTCCCCTCCACCACTAGCTCCATACTTTACCCCCACTACATTACACCACACTATACTAGTTCCATCCATTTCAACCCAACTACCCAACCACTCTTGACTCAACCCCACCCATTCAAAACCCTCCCATCTCCCCATCCAACGATGAAACCATGATCACCGGCCCGACCACCTCCCCCGGCAATGGCGTCGTCGGGGGCTACACCGGCCACAGTATGGCCCTCCGCATCGCCATTGCAACCCTGGCCGCCATCAGCTGGTACAATGCCGTCGAGCTGGTCATCCTCGTCTTCGTGACCTTCGCCCAGTTCCGGGGCCCCTACTTCTGGTCGCTGCTGATCTCCTCGCTGGGGCTCCTCCCCTACTCCACCGGCTTCCTCCTCAAATACTTCGACCTGGCGCCCGCCGCCCTGTCCGTCACCCTGATCACCATCGGCTGGTACACCATGGTGACGGGCCAGTCGGTGGTGCTGTACTCGCGGCTGCACCTGGTGCTGCCCAACCCGCGCATCCTGCGCCAGGTGCGGTACATGATCACCATCGACGCGTGCCTGCTGCACCTGCCGACCACCGTGCTCACGTACGGCTCGAACCTGGCCCCGCGCAAGGCCGCCTTCATCGCCGGCTACAACATCATGGAGAAGATCCAGATGACCTGCTTCTGCCTGCAGGAGTTCATCCTGTCGGCGCTGTACATCTGGGAGACGGTGCGCATGCTGCGCCTCGACCCGGACCGCGGCAAGCGCAAGATCATGTACCAGCTGGTCGCCATCAACCTGATCATCATCTTTTTGGATCTGGGGCTGCTGGTCATCGAGTACCGCGACCTCTACATCATGGAGACCATGATCAAGGGCGTCATCTACAGCGTCAAGCTGAAGCTCGAGTTCGCCGTCCTCGGCAAGCTCGTCCTGCTGGTCCGCGGCCACCACGTCTGGAAGTGCGACTCCGCCCTCGCCGTCAGCAGTCCGCCGCCGCCGCCGACCGCCGTCGACGAGCAGCAGCCACCAACAATCACCACCGGCCGCGGCGGGGCGACGATACCGGAGTACCCGGATTTCGTCGACGCCACCCGCGTCACCTCGGACCTGACGCACCCGGGCACGCACGCGCCCATCGCGACCCGCCGCCGGTCGCACCCCTGGATGGACAGCGAGGACGTCTCGATCGCTATGTTCGAGCACGCCACCTGCACGACCACGCGCAGCAGCACGACGCGGCGGAGTCTCAGCGGCCGCCGCCTCGACCATCCGCGCACGGGCCACTCGGACGGCTCGCACGTCTCGCAGTCGTGGAGCGGCGAGACGCAGACCAACCATTCGTTCCTGTCGGCTACGGGTCAAGAGCGAGAATTGAGTCCGGCCGACTTTACAGGGGACTGGGGGAAGCCCCAGGGCAGTTTTTAGTCGGTGCTTATCCGCTGAATAGCTTTATGATTGAATGAGTTATGAGGTATGCGGCGCTGTCTGATGTTTTGGGGGCACAGCCCGTCTAGTATATTGGGTAGTAATTCATGCACATATGGAGTCTGTACTTTATTTCTAGTCAGGAATAAGCAAGCCGGAAGCTATCTCACAGTAAACATGACGTATGCAGAATTCTATAGCGTTGTGAGTATCACGGGATGGATGCGAAGTACGGACGGAGTAAGAGTAAGAGTATGCTCCATAAGGTACGGGCCCCAGTCCGAGTCCCGGAAAGTCCAAAAGTGGAACCCGTGAACCACTGGCCCCGGGAAATGTGGACTGCGGACTGCGGACTGTGGGTTGTGGACACTGGAATGCGCTTACGGCTGAGCCCGAACCCGCCCCGACCATCTCCTGGACCATGGTACGTAGCCCATCATCCACCCAGGGAGGTCACTTTATTTCAGGTCCGTACCGTATCCGAATCACCATTTCTCCCACACAGCCAGACAAACACCGGGGTAGGGTACTGTACTGTACTGTACTGTACTGTACTGCCCCTCACACTAACTTATATGCCATTGCAAAGCTAATGCATTAGATAGGTAACTTCCAGTACGGTACAGTACGTAACTTAAGTCAAGTAAGCAAGTTCGCAGGATCTCAGCTGCTTCAATCCGATTCGATTCAAATCCGATTTAGCCGAGTTTTACTGTGCGCACTCGGTAGGTACTAATAGTAGTAGTGGAGTGTAAGTTACTACTTCCCAGTACCTAGTAGGTAGGTAGGGTAAGCAACCCGCCCAATCGGATGGTAGTTGTTGGTGGTTGGTTGCCTTGTCCGGCCTGCTTGCCCTGCGGTCCCGGGGGGAGGAGGGTAGCCGAAGTTGTCAGGGTCTGCGTAGTGCGCACATTCTTGAGTGTACAGTACTTTCTTGTTGGGGTGGGGGTGGACTCTACTATATGTACTATACTGTACTGTACTGTACATGTTCAGTCAGGCGGGATGGAGGATGGACGAGGGAGGGAGGTGTGCTGCGGTGCTGGACTGGACTGGACAGACTGAGTTGGACTGAGCTGAACTGGCACAGGCCTCCGCGAGCGCTGAGCTGAGCCCTGTTACTGCTATTGCTACTGCTACTGCTACCGCTACTGCTACGGAAGCAGGGTCATGCTCACTGCATTCCTGTAAGACTGCATGTACTCATCATCAGAGGGAAGGACGGAGAGTTGCAATTGCGATGTTAAGCTTACCTTTGGTTGGACCTGTCTCCTCGTACAGTACAGTACAGTACAGGACAATACCTCAGCAGTAACGGCATGCTGTAGCGAGGCAGACTAGCCCTTTCTCGCCCTGTCTCCTACCACCCGGCCGTCTTCCCGCTGGGGACTCTGACATGAGGGATGACGGTATACCAATACCAAGTAGGTGGTAGTTATTCTCGAGCTGCTCTCGGCATCTATACTCGAAAAGGACCCCTACTCAAAGTGGGCAGTTTGTTCGATGAACCTACACATTGGGGTCAGAGTCCATTGCTGTATCAGTTGGATTGACTGGATGGTTTATGCTATGTGCTGTGGTGCGCATTATCTGACAGGCTCTAACTCCCACTTGAACCTGTCATGCTGCAGACGGGGACTGCATGACAACCGGGGAAGTGCCGTGACGTGGTGAAAGATCGGGTCGACTACCTCAGACCTGACGGAGACTAAAGCGTGCTACACACACGATGCACCATCGCAAGACAATCATAATCATTACACTATCCACAAAGCCCATCTGATCAACATGGTCAAGACTAATCAAACAGAAACAGATCCAGATCCCAACGCCCACGCCGTACCCAGCATGCCGGATGCATCTGCCTTTGCAAACTCCAAGCGCCAATTCCAGCCATATGGACACCAGTTCAGGAGAAACACCAAAGGACACAGGAAGTCCCAAGTCGGAGGAACACGCTACACAATCTGATGCGAGAAAAAAAAATAGCTCAGCAACTACCCCACTTCGTAGTCTTCAACAATCCCAGAATTGAACATGTGAACATGCTACCAGGTATTCAACATATGTAAATCATCATGAGACCCGTATCGCACGACTCAATGCAACCCTCAAACATTCAAGAACGGCTCTTGGGCTGAGACAGGAGGTGCAGACGGCTCATGGTCAGCACGCCCCGGCCGCGAGCACGAGCACTGCCCGGGGTGGTGGTGGTGCTGGTGCTGGCGCGTCCCGCCGAGGGTCGGGTTGCAGAGCGGAGCGGAGTGTGGGATCGCGCTTTGGTGGGCGTGGGGGTACCTGCAACACTCGAGGCTGTCTCCTTGGTAGCACTGGGAGTGTCCATGGCCTTGGCAAATAGAGTGGAGGCACGACCGGTTTTCTTGAACGGGGAGGGCGAGGGCGCGCTCATCTTGAGGCGCTTGGCGCTGCGCGCTCCATTATCGGCTGGGGGCACGTTTTCGGCATCAACATCCTCCGCCTCGACGGCCGTGCGGTTACGCTTCTTGTGACCAATACCATGGGGAACCCCGGCAATGTCGGGCAAGGAACTAGCGTCGTGCTTCTCCTCCTCAACGGTAGGACGGTTGCGTTTCTTGTGACCAATACCGTGGGGCACACCGGCAATCTCGGGCAGAGGAGTGGCGTCGGAAGGACGCACCTGGCGGATAGTAGGTGTGGTCGCCTCGCTGTTCTTGGTGGTGCTGCCGATCTTGCTGGGGCTGTGGGAGTGCTCCGGGGTCAAGGTAGGTAGAGTCGGGTAAACAATGTCAGAAACCACCCGAGAGGCACTTGCAGTGGGAAGTTTCGAAGGGGAAGGCG